TTTTTTATAGGGCTAGATTGATGAAATGTTAGAATATACTTTTTAGAAATTGAAATGTACTTACATTATTACTATAAATATGATAATCATGTTTTAATAGAGAGGAAGAGCTACTGGTGATACCTGCTGAATTGATATAGACTTTGGTGTATTTGAATTACTTAAATGTATAATTTTTTTATTAATGTGGAGGAGATGGTTAGAGATATTAATATTTGTTTACCTATATTTGAATATTAGCCTGGGATTTGGTTTGGGAAGTCCGGGGGGGGTGGGATATATTATAATATTGTGTAATACTTGTGATGTTTTTTTCTTTTTTGGAAAACAATAAAAATTTTATATTGAAAGGGGGTACTTGCAGCAGAAACATTTTAACACGTCAGGTCAGAAAAATATAGACTGCATTTCTGATCAAGTGAGCCTGTGATTGTTCTGTCATTGCAAACTTTAGTATGATGTTATTTTGTTACAAAGCACTTATTTATTCTCTTGAAAAATGTATCTTAAGCTGCTGCAAATTGCTCTTTCTATTATTAGGAAGGCCATAATTAAATCTGCTTTATTTTCCATTCTCAGAACTCCCATTCGCATATAGTTGCATATGCAGCATCTCTGCAGAATCTCTGTGGAGATTCTCAGTCATCCAGGTCACGGTTGTCCCAAAGGTGCTTTTTCAAAAAGCATCTAAAGTAGACTTTGTTTTTCTTTGAAGCCGTTTCGTTTCTCATCCAAGAAGCTTCTTCAGTTCTGACAGCCAGAACTGAAGAAGCTTCTTGGGTGAGAAGCGAAACGGCTTCAAGGAAAAATAAAGTGCAGTTGGCCTTTTGAAAAAGCATCTTTGGGAAATCTTTTATACATTGTTAAATAAAGAAGGAACATATGTCAAGAGGGAAATTGCTTTTTACATGTTGGTGCTATAAATTGTGTTTAAATTAATACTGAAAACATTGATTTTATAATAAGCAATAGAGATTATAGATAAATCTGTAAAATGAAGAATTAGATATGGTAGTTACATGAGTTACATTTCCTTTCGCTTGACATTTTGATATGTACTTAGCCTCTCTTTCTCCATACAGAATAAAACCATCAGAAATGTGTGGACCTTTTCAAACTTTTGATACCATCTACGATTCTTGGAAGGTATGGGTACTAAAGCTGGAAGAATCCAATTCAAATATTACTTGGTTTACCTGGATCCATCAAAACCTCTTCCAAACTTCCTACTTCCTGTTGTTAATCACTGCAATTTTGGTGTAAGTTGAAATGACAAATTTATTTATGTAAGCCTAGAAAATCATAAATAGTTGTTAGCAACAATGCATAACATATTTTTGCAGATATATGTACTATGCGATAGAGTGGTTGAATAATATGGATGAAGGTTGTTTGCATGCCATTTCTCAACCTACTGTAGCATCAGGATACATCAGAAGTTGTTGATGGTTTCTGCTGCTGGGTATGTAAGTCGAACAGAAGTAATTTGCTGTTACATTTTAGTTTAATGTAATGTTTAGTTTGGTTTTATTTGAACTTGTAGGAAGTTCCTGAAAAATTGTTAAATCGTCTTCTTCCAAACAATGTAAAAAGCCTTAAAAAGTTGACTGAAAATATTTAATAGAAAATAACCAATGATTTGGAGAAGTAAAATTGAAACTATATTATGGGAAGATATATAAAATACAACTGATATTTTTAAAAACTGCAAATTATGTACTGTAGTAGTAAAAAGTTATAGAAATCAATGTCAATTTAAAATTTTTACTTACTAGTTAATAAATACAACATAGATAACTTTCTATAGATCTCTCTAATTTACATATTTGTATTTGTGGTAAGTGTTAAATTAGTAATCCATGATTCTCGGTGTGATTCAGAATTAAACTAATTATCCAATATGAAATGCAGATTTTTGAATTTATTAAAAGGAATAAGGACTTTAATAAACAGCACGATTATATAGAAAATTATGAATACAATGTGATCTCTGCAGAAAAATATACTACAATTATATTTGGCAGGAGGTAACTTTTTAACATTTAGAAGCCCTCTTTGTTGAATAGCTTAGGCAAAGCTAAATAAAATGCTTGAATTTAATTGAGATTGTTTTTTAATATTAGTTTAATTAGAGGTAAGATATATTATACTATGAAGATCTTGAAATTTGTTATTACTTTAACCTACTGGTTACAATGTTATGTTTTGTGTGTTGAGAATTTATATTTTTTTAATAAAAATTCAGGAATCAGAAAAAGAGCTTATTTTTGCTGAATTGTTAATGGTTTGTTCAAAAAATAACTAATATATACATTACTCATAGTGAAGTGGCGTATTTTATATCCCTGCATATCACAGTGTTGGCCCTTATAAGATAGACCATAGTAAGAAACCATATAGGCTATTTTCACTGTAACAGCTACAGTAATAGATTCTTGCAAGTCTGAATGTGCTTCCTCACTTTATCTTAGTGTGAAGGAGCCTGTGATATTTACTCAAACTCATTTCTTGCAGTGGACTCAAACTGGGCTTGTCTGATCATTGTCTTGATAGTGGGTCTTCTTCCTGCCCTTGAAGGCCACTCTCGATGCTCTCTACACATAGTGGATGCTCGCCAGATACACGCATTTTAGATGTACTGGCTTATCTGGTCATAGATAATTGATTCCTCTTGTTCTTCTAAAGCAGAGGTCCCCAATCTTTTGGGCACCGGTTCTGTGGAGAGGTTTTTCCGCAGACCAGAGGGGGCGTGGTTTTGTGTGCTGCCTGCATCCCATGGATGGGGCTTTGTTTGTGCAGACCAGTTTCTGGCATGCTGCGGCCTGGTATTGGTCCCCAGACCAGGGGTTGGGGACCCCTGTTCTAAAGAACTATCTTCCCTATTCTCTGTTTGAAAACACCAGGCCAAAGCCATTTCCCCTTGGCAATTCTCTTATCCTTTTTGAAGGACACATTGTTCTTCTCAGTATGTGTTGGTTAATGTGTCAGCATAAATGTCACGTTCTTCAACCTTGTGTTTTACAGTGCAGTTATCTACTTCACCATTGAGATGGTAAAGGGTCTGCGGAGTATCATTTCAATACTGAAGGGGCAGATTGCCAATGTGAGTACTAAAGGAGAGTCATTCCCCTAATTTAAACATAGATTGAAAAAGAGGTATTAGTAATTAAAAGGACAACAACAAAAAAACCCTATCAGAAAAATAAAGTACCCTCAAGCAAATTTTTAAAATCTGCATAACCTGAGGTTATATATACATTCATCCGAAACACACAAATATAAACATCTGGATTTATTTATATTTATTTTATTTATTAAATTCTTATGCAGTCCATCTCCAATATAAGGTAGGGAAGCATGATCAGCAGAATTTATACCATCATTCACACAATTCCACATTTCCAGAGCCCTCATTTCCTCCTGTCCCAACAAGTATTACCAGTGGGGCTGTCGGTTTGATCTCCGAGCTTAGCAATTTGGCTGCAAATGTTTCATCTCCATTCGGGGGGACATCTTCAGTGTGCTTTGAATTGTGCTCGTCTGTCAGAGCACTAGCCTTTAAATACCTTTTTGTGTGATGTAAATTGATGTGAGTGTTATTTGTCCGGATGATGCTGAGTCATGGTCTGGTTTCAGGCTGTTTGATTGGCTGGTTGTTGTTGCTGGGATATAGTCCTTATGTCATGATTCCGACAGATGAAACCCTTCAAAAGAACTTTGAGGCATTGTTTTCCTTAAAGAATCTTTTATTCGGGAAACAAAGTATTGGCACTACGTAGTTGAACCCAAAAACTAAATTCCCCTCCCCTGGACACAAAGTAACGAAGTACAATTCCCACCCCCAATAAACAGTCATAAATCACATTCCCCAATTAGCTTGAAGTACGGGCTTTCTCCCCAGCTCTCCAGCCCGCCAAAACGTTGTCAGCTATGGACCCAGTTTGTCTTGGATTCCCACAGCAGAGTTATTATTATTATGGCTAACTGAACTCTCATCCCAATCTCCCCTCCCAGCACCAACTGATTCTAAAAGCATAGAGAAAATGGCTGCATTTTCATTTGTTGTCAAAGCAAGAACATCCGATGTTAGCAGCATTGACACCTTGGTGTTTAAGTATCGTCTGTGTGATGCAAATGGTGTTTGTTCTGAGTCATGATCTGGTTTCGGGTTGTTTGGCTGCTGTTGTAGTCCGGTTTCTTGTTGGTGGTAGTGATTCTTGTTGCTGTGTGGTGGGGTGCCTGTTTGTTCATTTTAAATGCTGCCTTCGTGATTGAAGTAATTCTTCTGTTCTCAGCGGTTGGTAGACTGGGTCGATGTCAATGTGTCTGTTTATCGACTTACTGGTGGAGAACCAGGCTTCGAGGAATTCTCTTTCTCCCCTTGATTTCGCTTGGGTTAAAACTGTGATCCCGGTTAGATCGAATTTGTGTCTATCACTAGTGCCATTAGTTTTTCCCATTCTTCACCTCTCCACTGAAACGTTTCTACCTAAAACAGGTCCGATTTGTTCCATTTCCAGAGCAAACATATATTTTGATTTGGACATTCCCCCCCCCAAGCATAGCAATTCTAGGCACAAATCATTTCCTGTATCCTTATCCATTTTTAGTATTTTTATTTAAATAGATAATTATAGACAGGAACAATCTGTTTTGAAGTACATGACTGCACTAGCTAAAAAAACGGAGACTAAATCTGATTTAAAATATTTTTAAATGAAAAAAAAAATTCTTAAAGAGACTTGACTGTGTTTATTCTCAGGCCATGCCATTTCCTACATTTGTAAAGACCTGTAATCCCCCCCAAAAAGTGTGTTTGGTTTTCTGTAGTACTTTGTTATAGGGCAGCTAACAAAAATATTCATTTCTAATGTTGCAACATTTTATTTGTCCTGGAAAAAAAGAACAGACTAATACAGTTAATTATTAACTTACTAATTTCCTCAAAAATGTTCAACCAAAATGTGTAACTAAATAGCGATTGCCAAACTGGTAGTATTCACCAGTTTGATTACACTCCCTCAATTCAGCTTTTCTTTGTGACTTTTTTAGGAAAAAAAAGCTTGTCTTCCTACATGATCCAACTTACACTAGTTGTAGCTAGTGAGGGGAGGGGAGGGAGGTGGATGGACCTCCTATTCTAGGTACCTGAACTGTAATATGGCTTCATACCTACTTTGCCAATCAACAGAGCATAAGTAAAGTTTTTGCAATGAACTCAAATTAAAAAAAACAACAACTAGCAATCCTGTATTGTATTTGCTTTAGCATTCATATTGTCCACATTCTATTAAAAAGGTCAGTTTCCTGCTGCTCATCTTAAATGTGTCTTGTGTTCCAGGAAAGAGAAGACAAGAAGTTTCTCATTCAAAGACTTCATGTTATATATGGAAAATGAAAAGTACAACAGGATGAAAATGAGGTAAGGCCATTTGGAACTAATCAGAAAGTTCCATAAAAGTTACAGGACACCAATATGCCAAACAGTTGGCTAAAAGCTTTGCTCAAACTAGCAGATATGCTAAATCCACACAGCTAGTAGCCTTATATATTGCAGTTTGGTTTTGGAATTCTGCAATAGTTGTTTCTGTTTTCTCTCTTCCAGTAAAGCAAAATACCTAGTGCAGTTACAGGTTTCCCTAACCCCCTTCAGTGTACAGTACAGTAGCAAATTACCAAATTTTGACTAAAAAATTACAGGCTCTGAAGCAAATAGATTTCAGAGGAAGGCACATAAGTCTTGTTTTTGCCACATACACACACATGCAAATGACAAAGACTATCCCACTAACCTTAGGATATTGTGCTGCCATGATTATAGGCACTTTTTATGGAAGGAAGATGACTTAAGCAGCAACATGAACAAATGGATGCTGAAATCTTGCTATGACTAATTTTCCCTAATAATATTTTTCTTCCATTTAGGCTCAAGACTAAAAATACTCCCTTCCACCAGAAGTATAGCAGGCATAGAAAAAATGATGGGACGCTGGGAGAGGGGGAACACATTATAACAGAAATTTAGGCTGCTATTATATTTGGTTACTTTTGCAAACCAAGTCTTTAGATCCTCTATTCAACACACGGGATGCTAGAGGACACCATAAGTAATTCAAGTATATGTCTGGGATTGTATTTACCAGCAAAGATAAGGATGTGCTGTATTTTGCAAATTGGTATTTTGAGGAGAAATATAAAAAGGCAAGATAAGGATTGAAAAATGTGTTGTCAATAGGAAATGCATTGTTCATTGTATTGACTGTAAAATCATCACTAATTTTCTTATTACGTTACAGATCCATTTTTCCTTAGCATCTTTACCAGCGAACGTACCAGGTGAACCTTACCCTGAAGGACTTCATAGAAAAGGAAAATAGATATGGGGCTATCCAGAAACGTTTTGATGAACACATTCAGGCTGCTGAAGATACTGACTCCCTTCACTCCTGCATGTGAATGTCATCTACCTTTGGTTGAAGAAGTTACAGCATATTCTTAACATTCGCTGGCCATTTCAGTTTCTGTCTTCAGCCAAAAGGAAACTTTCCAGAACCAGACTAAGAGCTCCCAGACTATCTCAAGATTTTTACAGACGATTTTTATAACAGAGAATTCAAACTGATATTTTATAATGTGCAATGGTCTGAAGTATTTTGTCTTGCCAGGATTATGAGATCCATGACCTCATGTGGGAGAGTGTACAGTTACTGGAAAGAAATTTTTCTTACAAAGGACCTCATGGTTTAATATTAATAAAAATGACTTGTCTTAAGGGAGTAAATTATATTCTCTTTTTATTCCTTTGCTACTAATTGTCTACATGAACAGTTGTCATTTCTTAAGTTCTCATAGTGTGCAGTTACTCTAACATGGTTGTGCTTGCCTACATTTTAACTCATGCTCTGAATGTATTTGCATTTCAGGTGTGAGCACTAATCTATAGAAGAAATCTTAACTCTTTGCTACCTCATTTTTATTTTCTTTGTGGAACTAAGGTATACAGTTATGGGCCATTTTTCACAATTTCTAGGTTCCAATCAGTAAATAAAACCTGCAACTTTCTTTTTAGAATTGTCTGAGTCACAAGAGCCAGATGAGTGACAGTGGGTATGAGTGTGTGTGTCATAGTGAGGGAAAAGGATGGGATTTTTTAAAAAATAAAGTGTTGCAATCTAAGACATGCGCTCATAACTCACTGAATAATTCTAGCTGCTCTTAATATCTTATGGAAATTAAGGAGTCCCACTGGGTGGTACATGTATGTTATCCCATTATAAAATCCCATTCCCTTTACCTCAGCTGTACAAAATATTTTCCGAAACATGTTAACTGGCAGCAGAACTAATCTCATTTCTGGACATGTCATATCTCTAATCTATCCACGTTGAATATTAAGAATAGTCTGTGCTTGCTTGAATTTATACAATTGGAAATGCTACTTTAATAATCCATTATGAAATATGTTTCTGAATCAGAGCTTCAGAAAGCAATGTGACAGGACTAATGCCAGCTCTACTTCTTGGAGGTCGGTGGCTTTCCCTTGCTGGCGCTATTTTTTGCTTATTCTCTGAGCCCAAGCTAATTCCTCAGGGAAACTATAATTTATTTTGTCCTGCAAACTAAATATCTTCTAAAGAACAAATGACTAAAAGTTACTAGTAAATTTCAATAAAATGAAAGTAACGAGCAGCCTTGTACAGAATGATGCTGTAAGAGCTGCTTAATCATTGACACAGTAAGTAGTTTTTACTCTATGAAATATTTATTTCAGATCAATATTTAAGTGTCTAATTTAGTGCATTGTCATAAAAACACCAATAAGAAAATACGGCAGCATAAAACGGGTTGGTTCATAGCTTTCAGATGCACTGAATTCATAATTTACCAGCTTTTGGTATTAGGAATTCAGTGCAATTAATTAAAGCTCTCATTAAAGTGGGTGTTTATGGAGGGTGAATACAGAGAGATACAGCATGATTTGTTGGGAGAGTCAGTTCTACTGGGTTGAATCTACCCATTTTGTGAGACAGGAAGAGAATGTGATCTGTGTTCACCTCTAGTTGAACCATCTTTGCGATTGTCCAGCAGGAGGTACAACTGGACTGAATGCCAGCATTCATTCTGTAAATATTCTTTACTTTTAACCCTAGTATATATTTGGTTTCTTACAAGCCATTCAAAGATTCTCGAGAGTCTTTGAATTGGAATAATAACTGGTTAGTGGCTCTGATGGAGGCCACTGATACAAGAGAATAAAATGGAAAGCTGAGAAGATAAAAGTTTACGTGAAAGAGTAACAGAAGAACTGAATTTTAAATAGAATACATCCAATATTGGTAAGGCTCTCATCTTGTTACATCTTAAACTTTACCATTTTTAATTGGTTGAGAGAACTAATTAGTCATGCAGAACTTTAGAATTGCTACATTGCACACCCATTTTGTAATTCAACTATAATCTACTGAGCCATCGTAGATGTCGTTTTTGCTGGTGTCCCATGACTCAGCTATATCTGGTTCACATGATGGTATGAGCTCACCAAAAACCTAAATTTTCTAAGAATGTGAGATTCTAGTGAGAAGCAATTAAAATCAAGGAAACACCACAAAATTAACATATTTCTAATGTACCTCACAGAAAAGCAACAGTATGCACTACAGCAAATACTGTATATGGTATTTAATAAAGTAGGTCAGTGTTACACTGGTCTGGATGGAATTTCTGGCTCAGGGAACAACAAGAGATTGCACCATTGGCAAAAGCTATCTGCTAAAGCCCGTCAAGTTAATATTTGGTAGGACTACGAATTTTTGGTTCTCAGAGTTAGATCACCGGTATTGTAGAAAATAGTTAAACTACTGACAACTGAAACACAAGAGACCATGCACACAAACTCCTGAATAAGATGCTCAGACTTGAGCAACCTGAATCTCTAGTGTGTTATAGAACAGGAATTTGTTTGCTTTGTACTTCCATCAGATCTGATTTCGTGGACCAGAAAATAATACAAAGCATAGAAACTTTGCGTGAAATTAAACTTCATGTTGCCTACAAAACCTGATTGGTTCCTCTGTTACAGCATGTTTACTTGCAGTTATTTCATCTGTACCAATACCTAGAGAAAATCATACAATGCTGTATATGATTACTGTGCTTACCGTTAGCAGCTTCAATATTCCCTTTCAATGCATCTACATGCAGTAGCAACCTCCAATTTGCCAGTTAAGAGGCAATCCACTGAATAATTTAAATGACATATTTCTACATCAAAGTTTGTGATGGCAATGTTGTTCCGCTGCTTGCAGGAAACGCTTCAGCTTCTTGGCATTTCCAGATTCCAACTTCAATCATGCAGGGTGGATTGCAACCACTTCATTACATCAGATAAGCCCCTGCCGTCCCGTGCACTGATCTCGGCCACAGTGATAACCTGTTTGGCACAAGCAATGATATCTTGGATTCGGAATAATGACTTCATCTCCACCAGGGACATGTAGCATGGTAAGTCACTAGGAATCAGAATAGTGAGGGAAAAAGTAGTTACACACCCATTTTCATTTGCCTGCTGTGCTGACAAAAGCCACTGATGTAAGTCTTCTGTCTGGAAATTCAGCTTAATTTCCTTACATTTTGTTGAAAATGAGGAGGACAGGAACCGATGTTAGCTGTTCAGCAGAAAGGAGGGACAGGAGCTGGACACAGGATGCGGAAATCTGAGTAGGATTGGCAGCATCAATCATATACTGCAGGAGAGAGGGAGCAATATACTTAAATAATATCCTAAAGTACTGTATAAGCTTGTTTGCTTATTTCACTATTTGTGCCGCTTGCCAGGTCAAAACTAGAATACATAAAAATTTAGCACAATCTGAAAAACAACACGCATAAATCTTTGCCTGTGCAGTTGAAGCCCAATTTCCCCCAATTTTATAGTCTATAGACAATTTTATAGACAATGGGCTGTAAGGCTATATTTTTATGACCCTTTAATCTCTTTATTCGAGATGGAGTTGGGACAACTGAATGGAGCTGAGCGTTTACTGGCTGGATGCCCTTCCTGATGCCTATGCAGAATTCACATGGGAGTCAGGAAGGGCATCCGGCCAGTAAATGCTCAGCTTTATTCAGTCACCCCAACTCCACCCCGAATAAAGGAATTGAAGGGTGAATACTAGATATAATATATGCATACCTATGTCTAGAAATATGCTTACAACACATTACATACATGTTTAGGATTATGTAAGTTTTTCTTGTAAAGGAATGCCAATAGTATCTATCAGCCCCACCAGATTTGGCAGAAGGAATATTAAAATAAGATAACCTTTATTGTCATTTATTTTTATTTTCCAAATCCCATTGATTAAAGAGTATCATTTGGCAGGACCCAAGAGATGTGTCATCTTGTAGCATTCCCTGCCCTTTGGTGCACCATTCCTCCCAATATTAGATCAGCCCCAAACCTAGCTAGTTTCTGCTGAGTCCTTAAGACTTGGCTTTTCTTTCAGGCATGTGGCTGGGAAGTAGTTGGGATCATAAGTAGTTCAAATTTGCTACTGATTGGTTTAGTCTTTGCCATTTTTCATTTTTGCTTTCTCGTGTGTTTTTATTTACTGTATTTTGCGTTGCACCATTGAACAGTCTGAAAGACCAGATTAGGGACTGATCATCCTGGAGACAATTTTAATCTATGTGGTTGCTGAGAGTCGAGAGTCAACAATGACTTGATGGCACATAATCAATTTTATTATGTTGAAGTTTTCATTGGGTTAGCTACCCAATGAAAGTCACTTTATGTGAGATGGGGATCATACAGATCTAATACATAAACACCCTAGCCTAAGAAATAAGAGTGGGACACTTAGCAACAATAGCCGTAAACATTTAGGTTTATATATTAAATATATGTTGAGATTATAAATCTAGTTGACATGTCCCAGAACATCTATAATTCCTTAAAAACCGTCAGAATATATATGTCGGGTCATTTTATTAGAAATGTGAGAATATTTGATTACAGATAGTCCTCAACTTACGACCACAATGGAGCCCAAAATTTCTGTTGCTAAGCAAGACATTTGTTATGTGAGTTTGCCCCCATTTTACAACCTTCTTGCCATATTTATTAAGTGGATCACTGCAACTGTAAAGTTAGTAACACGGTTGTTTAGTGAATCTGGCTTTGCTTGTCAGAAGATTGCAAAAAGTCACCACATGATCCCGGGACACTGCAACCGTCATAAATATGAATCAGTTGCTAGGTGTCTGAATTTTGATCACAGGAGCATGGGGATGCTGCAATGGTCATGTGAAAAACGGTTGTAAGTCAATTTTTCAATGTAACTTCAGACGGTCACTAAATGAACAGTTGTAAGTTGAGGACTACCTATATTTATTTGACATTTTTGCTCACTTATAGCAAAGAAAAAAAATCTTTCGGCAGGTTACAGTCTTAATTGTAACAAAGTACCCATGGCACATTTAAACAATACAACAAAATTAAAAAATGAATAAAAATAAATAAACTGCTCAGGTGAAGAACAGAACCAGCAAATCAATAAATAAATCGCCACAAATCAAAAACCTTCTTGAATAATGCCCTCTTCAGTAGTTTCTGAAAGCTTAATAAAGTGGGAACTGATCAAATTTTAGGGGCAAAATGTTCTAGAGCAATTTAATATGGTTGGGGCTGCATTTGGGAGTGTTGTGGACTGCAGGCAGCCCACATGTTTGGCACCTGTGCTCTAGAGTACCCTGCAGCTGCACACCAACAATATTTTTAATAGCCATGTGCCCCCCCCCAATCCCCACAAAAGGAAGAATAAAGACGAAGTGGTAGTTATCAAGTGCAAATGGGCCCAGGGAGTGCCTCTTGAGGAGACACACCACGGCCACTTTCAAGCAACTGACATTAAATTTCCTCCCTCGTCCAGTCTGTTCCCTCTCTTTCAGATACCTGAAGTAGCCAAGAGAGAGATGGATGAAGCACACAACTGACCAAGGATAACCAAAAGAGCACCCTATCAGTGTCATTAAAGTTCAAAGGATAGAACCCATTCTGGGTAACAAAGAATCAAGACCTAGATGAATCAGAGCAGCCTTCATGAAAATTTGTGTTAAACAGTCACAGGAGCGGTACACAGGTAATCCTTGATTTACGTGACAGTGATGAAGTTATGAGAGACTTAAAAAAAAAATCTACTTATGACCCATTCTCGAAATTACGACTGCCATTCCCCCTCACCCAGTGGTCATGTGACTGCATTTCAGGTGTTTGGCAATCAGCTCATCTTTATGACCAGCTTCAGCGTTCCCTGGTCATGTAACCTTCATTTACAATGTTTTTTGCCATTTTCCAGCAGAAAATTGACAAAAAAAACACCCATGGATAGGCTGGATTTGTTTAATGACCATGTAGTTTGTACAACAAGCATGTGTTTCACTTAACAACAGTGATGACTCACTTTACAATAGTGATAAAAATAGTCATAAAATCAAGTTGGATCACAAAGTGCTTCAACTTATGACAGCAACAATTTACAACCAAAATTCCGGGTTCCACTATGATCCTAAATCAAGGACTACCTGTATATATTTTTCTGCTTTCCAGTTCTCTAAATGTCTGTGCCAATGCAAGAGGTCAGAGGTTTTATGGCAGCTCTAAATCTTACAACAGTACAGGAATGTGAAAGCCCAGGAAAAGTAAACAAGGAGCCTGCTTTCCATGCAGAGAAATCCAAGTTCCAAGAATCAGAGCTAAGTATATTCTTGTACCAATCCAAAGTTCAATCAGGGAATCAAAAACACGGGTCAGAAAATCAGGCCTAAGAACAAGAAGTTGGTTACCAGCCGAAATCCGATTCCTAAGCCCTTCTTTTATAGCAGGATTCAGGCTTGTCTGTTTTCAAAGTCAAATATCTTTTGAGGGCCCTTACTAAGCATTCACCCCTCTGAGACAGTGCTGAGTCCCTGATCACAAGGTGTCATTTAAGATTAAAACTACACTCCCATTGCCCGGCCCAGGCATCTGGATCTCTAACCCAGACAGCAGATTTCTGAGAGAGCAATATCACTGCCCTCACACAACCAGATTTTGGAAATATACAGTACGCTAGGTCTGTATGTTCATCAAGTTGTGGACAAGAAAAGTTTTACTAGGACTGCACTGCAGCTGACTGACCCATTCACTGGCACATGTACAGTACCATGTAGGCCAGCTAAATAAGCTCCCAAAGCCATAGCCTCCAAGAAGCTCCGGGCACCCTCCAGCCCAGTGAGTAGTTGCTCTACTTCCTCTCTCTCTTTTTTTTTTTGTCAAGAGTCTGTCATTGATTTGCTCACTTACCTTCACCAGATACTATCCTTTCCAATTAACAACACTGCACTTTTCTTTTGCAAACTCCAATATTACAAGATAAGCATAACCGTAATAGCCAGGCTCTTCAACTCTACCAAAAATAATTCTAAGTAGCATTCTTCCAAACCGACTTAACTTTCCCTTTCAGAAACAAACATTCATTGTTTAGCACCATCTCTCATTCCTTTGCATCTATACAAGCAGAAAAACTGGTATGCCATTGATAGAAGTTAAAAGGCCTCTGTTCTCTCCCCTCCCTCCCCTCCCCTGCCTTTTTAAGCAGAAGAATTTTTAACTGCTGACCAGTCCCAGAATAAACATACAATCCTAACTGATTCCATCAAAGAGCAGGAATCCCCCCAAGATAAAAGGAGATGCCAGAGGTGAACTCCACGTATCTGAGGGCGATCTTCCTTTACGGATTTCACACAGGATCAAAGCCCAAATCAGGAGCATCTGCACATCTGCACAGGAAGGACACATGTTAAAACCAACACATACACAAACCACACTTGCTTGCTCACATCAAGGACCAGTCCTCCTATAAAACCAAGCCTCTGGACCCCATTTCCTTTGTAGTCTACCTCCAAAAGAAATCTCTTTGTTCTTGGGAATAAAATTGGATCTCATTTCTCACACTATGTCTGGATTTCATTTTCTGATTTGTTCTTGTGCTACCCTGGCTCGTAGGACCCCAAATTATTCTTTTAACATCATAAAAATGGTTACAACCTTGCAAGCTTATTATAAAAATAATACCCACTGAATTATATACAATATATTAATGAACACTCACCAGGACAGCATGGCAGTCACTATAGTAACTGGACCAGATAGGACCCATGCAGCCTCCTAGCTCTCGAACTGTGATCTTCTTTCCTATTGAGAGATCGGTAAGATTTGTGCCTACCTGTAAAAACACATACAAACAGATACACAGATGTGCAAATGAATGATTTTATTGTACGCTAAACAGAGACTGTTTAGTGTACAATATATCACAATTACAATAGGTTTTCTTGCCAAGAATGTGTGCACAGAACTGTAGATACTGTCTATTCTGTTAATTGGGTTCCCTATCCTGGTATGGTAATCTAACTCTCCCAATTCTAAGAAGAGCAAAACCTGAATATTTTTCCATAAAAAGTTCTGGTATGCAATATCATAAAGTTATTTTCGGGATCCTCAAAAACCTGAGTTCTAGCTTCAGTGCAAGGTCTGATATAAGTCAGAAAACCCTTGGTGCCAGAAGGTTTTTTTGCTTTCATTGACGGTATGTTTTTCAGGATTTAAACATCCAAAAATATCCATGTCACATAAATACTATTGAGCTATGATTAACATGATTAACATTTCTTCAGGTACTTCCCTTTACCAAGGCTGGAAAAAGCAGCAGCTGAAAAATCATAAGTTGGAGGGAACATGATAATATAATTCAGCAATTTATTTATTTTTCACATTTTTAAACTGCCCATTTCCCTGAGAGATGGGTACTAATGGGTGAATACCTAATAACAAGCCACAGGTGGATGGATGCACATCATATCAACACACATTACAAAATATAATGGAAGGAAAATCATAACAAATAGAAAAAGTAGCAAAGTTTGTCCCAGAAGAATTAATCCTGAGGGCCACCTAGTGGCTTTAATTACACGAGGAAAACCTGCTTTGAATGAAAGTCTGAAAGCGTGAGCATGATGATTAGCAATTATATTGCAATAGTGACAACTATAAAATTACAGTTAGAGCAGCAACAAAAGTTATTTTTAGATCTATCTGTAATCCTGCAGTACTATGATGCACAATGTAGTCCTACTGGTAGATTAAGAGATTCTGGTAAAAAAAACAACACATAAAATGGTATAGTGTGTAATGTCTAGTGAATACACTAAGCCAACATTCATATCTTTATTGGAAAATTTATAAAGAAGTATTCTCGAAGTAATTGTTGTTATTTCTTTTAGCAGTGATAACTTCCAACAAATATTTTCTGCGCCTGTTAATCCTACTCATTGGCTGTAATTGAGCTATCTCTCTTTACAGAACTATAACTAATAATATGATTGGGCTGTCTTACACAAACTTCAGGTGATGCCACAATATTTCAATTGAGTTGTCACAGCTTTAACTTGGCTGTTCCAAAACTCAGTGTCTTCTGCTTCAGCCATTCTAGTAGATTTATATGTATTTTAGGACTATTGTTTTGTTGCATGATCCATATTCATTTAAGCATCAGCTCGTGGATAGATACCCTGCCATTTTCCTGATGAATTTGCTGATATAGCCCAAAATTTGGCTTTTTCAATTATTACAAGGTGAAAGCAGTCCTATTCTTTATGCACTCTTCTGCTAGAATGCAGTATGTTTTTTCAAAACATAACATTTCTCATTAACACCCAAAAGTTCTACCTTTGTCTCAGCTATCTATGGAACATTTTCCCGATAGTCTGCCAAATCATCCAAATGGTGTTTGACAAACTTGAAAGAGGCAACAGTCTACCCAAAGTATCCTCCTGTGCACATCACTCTTGTTCAGTATTTTCTGTATGATGATCTCATGAGCACTGACAACAGATAATGCAACATTGATTTACAAATTCTTCGCCATTACCCTGGGCTTCTTTTTACCCTTCTGGTGTATTGTAAGCCTTCCTCCCAGAATGATTTTTACCAACCATCGCTGGGGAGAATAACAGTCATGTTCCACTTTCTTCATTTGTACACTATTTGCCTAATGAACTAATGGGCAAGTGTTGAAATTGTTTTGAAACCTTTTCCAATACAATGTTTAACAACCTGTTTTTCTGAAATCCACAAAAATAATTCACTTCTACAAGCCCGTGTCATGGAGGGAAGGCTCCAAAAGCGGTAACCAACTTTTTACTTAATTGAGAAGAGTTCCTCAAACTCACACCTAGATTGTCATCAAATTAATTGAAACATCTAGTTCAACTTCCTTGAGTTGATTATCCTAGGCTTCAAATATTTTCCCCAATACAGATATTAAATACTGACTCAATGTTTTATAAAAACATGACACAGTATGCTGTTTTTATTATTATTTGTTTAATGTAAATGTAAAGGCACTAGGCTAGAAATCATGAAATCTAGTCTTGCCTTAGACATGAAGCCAACCTGGTGCCTTTGGGCAGTCATTCTCTTAAACCAGTGGTTCTCAACCTTTTTAATGCCACGACCCCAACCGGTCGTAAGTCAAGGACTAAACCGGTAGTAAGTAGAGGACTAAACCGGTCGTAAGTCGAGGACTAAACTGGTCGTAAGTCGAGGACTAAACCGGTCGTAAGTCGAGGACTTTCCCTGTCCGGGAGCGCCGCACATGCGTGGTTCCGCCCCCTGCGCCGGCCGAGGCGTAGCTGGCAAGTGGCAGAGACAGAGCAGGCCGACCACCAGCTGGCACAGCCCAAGGGAGGTAAGGCACCCGCCGGAAAAGGGAAAAAAAATGGCGGACAAAAAAAATGGCGGACAGCCTTGCTTGGCGACCCCCGTGAAATGGTCGATCGACCCCAAATGGGGTCCCGACCCACAGGTTGAGAACCACTGTCTTAAACCTTGGAAGAAGGCAAGGGCAAACCACTTCTGAAAATCTTGCTAAAAAACCAGGGACTAGTTTAGGCAATTGCCAGGAGAGAAGGCTGACTTAAAGGCATAGAAAAAGAGCTTTCTCTATTGTTTACTGAAAAATACAAACAAATCTTAAGCATACAGTATGTGGTATCCTACATTGTTTCTACTATTAATCCACTGTATTCAACACCTAAATAGTACTCTATGGCCATTCCCTCAGCAGTTTGTGCAATCTGATGAACAATACTCTGATGGCCAACTTTTCAGCCATCAGACAAGCTGTAAGGAAAAGAGCCTAATACAGAAGACAACATATACCTCGCTCTTGCCCAATAATACTGAGAAAAGGGGAGGGAGAACAGAAAATACTGTTTAAGGTTATGTATATAAGAATGTATGGATGTACTTGAGTGTCCTAATCCCGTTTTCCACTGCTTCATATACTGTACCTACCAGCTCCAACTATTTATGTGGGCTCAATTCTACAAACCAATCAATCTTGATCTATTTAAAGAATTCTTTTCAGTGGACCAAAACTAGTGAGCCAAAGATAATAAAAACCATACCGTTGGCAAAGTAGCTGGTGATTCTCCAAGGTCCTTGGCCCCATCCTTGGAGCTCAGCTGTATCAAAAAGCCATTAAGGAAGATGGTAGGAAAGAATAACATTCAATACAGTAAGATACAGGTGGGATTGAATTTTTCCAGAATAGCCTTTCTCAAACCAATACTCTCAGACGTCTTCCATCACCTGTGCTTATCTGGGAATTATGGAATTATTTCTCAAAGATGATTATCTGGAAGACAGCAGGATATAGTAGGAAAGGCTGCTCAAGAACAAGTTCCTATCTACATCCTTGCCCAACACAGCAAAGACTTAACTATTCTGTGTAAAAAAAAAAACCACCTACATTCCAAACATCAAGCAGGCATTTTTAAATTTCATCCCTCTCTCTTGACACCTAACTGCACACACCACTGTTAGCCCCAAGATTCTTACAAGGGAGGCCAAATCCATGTAAATTTTTTTTTCTGGGTTTGCATTTAACGATTTAATATTGTATGTATGCCGCACTTGAAAAAGTAATGGCAGCAGACAGAAACCCATCTTCCAAGTCTTCCTTTTGCATTTAAACGTCGTTAAAATTAAATATAACCAAGACGCTTTTTGCACCGTCATACATTTAATGTCCCATTTAAAAACCACAATTTAGTAATCACTTTCTGAAATCTCTAGAGGCCACCCGGAGCCTGGCGCCTCGCTGCCTTGGCCAAGAGGCATGGCGCACCCACCTCCTTGGTCAAAGCATCTCCTCGCCCCTTTCCTTTTCCCTTCCTCGCCAGGCCCTGCTCAACTTCGTCTGCCTTTGACCCGCGAGCCCCGCTTCCCCCTTGGTCGTCGGGACCCCAGATATAGGATATTCTGCAGCCGCTTCACCAGCAGCGACTTTCCCACCCCGGTAGCCCCGAGAAGCAGGTAGAGAGGAGAACAGCTTCCCGCCATTCCCATAGCAACCAAGGCCGACTCTACGGTCGCCAACGTTCTTCGCAGCATTCATTGGTTCGGAGCGACAGTTTACTTCGTTCACCCTTCACCCAATCGCTAAGGCTTGCCGCCGGAAGGCCCGCCCTCTCCGCTGACTGGAAGGCGGAAGCGGGGCCTAAATTGCGGAGACGTTGGAGGGGAAGAGCGGCGGTGGGTCGGTCCGGCCTGATCTTGAGAGGGGGAGCACAATGGGGCGAGGCGGCGGCACCTTCGAGCGCCTTTTAGGTACTGAGGGGGGGGGAAGGGAACCGTGGCCTAATCCTGCCTCAGAGCTTCGGCCTTCATTTTAATGCCTTGCTTTCCTTCGACCTCCCTTTCTTCGGCTTCTGTAAATCGCGTCTTCCTTTTGGGGGGATCTTCCGTTGCATCTGAAAACCAGTCAAGCCCCTGAAGCGTTTTTCCTTTTGTGCCCTTTCCCCCCCCCCCACATACACCCATATTGATTTTCCTGTATTTATTCGTAGGATCGTTGTCCTCGCGCCACAAATCGCTAGGTTGCACTTTAGCGACAAAGAGGTCGACTGGAGTGATTAATAATGTGATATTGCCTAGCGTCATGTGATGGGTTTGCAGAATGGGGGGGGTCTTTTGTAGATAGGGGAGGGGTCTTTTGACCAGCTTGATACATGGAATGATACAAATGTGTAATTTGAAAAAAAAACAACACATCAGTTCCTGTATTTGTAATTGTACAAGGCTGCTGATCTCGTCACTGACCTAAAATCAGGTTCTACAAGGTGACTGGTTGTACCAGGAAATAACAGAATAAGTAAGTGCTGACTGAATCAAGGAAAACATGTTGCATTAGGACAAATATCAATGGGAAGAAAATCTACATCACCCCCTATCAACAGTCCACAAATTAACTGGTGTTTTTGTACTGATGGGAAAAAGACAATGAACAGCTATTCATTTCCCTTTCAATATAAGGCTCTATTTGAATTTGGAGTATTAGAATATACCAAAGTATACCATTCTAAAATATACTTCAGTTCCTTCAAGAAATTTATAACATGACAGGGAAGAAGAAACTAAAGGTGAGAGAGTGATATGCAGAAAGATTAAATATGTACAAAAGTACATGTACATGTAACTAGGATTTATTCTACATAAATTGGAAAAAAGTACCAAAGTTTATGACAGAAGGAAGTTTGAAGGAAGAATTGGAAAGCAAAGAAGTGAAGATGTTATAATCTAAACTTGTTGATAGAGATTCTGGAGTGGCCTGATTAAAAAAGTCTATTTATTGGGAAAGATAAAGAAGTAATTAAAGGAAATATAAGATATCTGGACAAATGATAAATAGTATGGTTGGAGGAGCAAATGTTTATAGCTAAACTTAGATTTGACAGCCAAGAGGTCAATTTCACTGAGAAAAACTGCTTGGTAATAGCATACAGTAAATAACTGTAATAGCTGTAATTGTTTGTGATCTGAGGTTCGCATTCATGTCTAGTAATTCTTGTCAGAAGAAAAACTCCTTTGTTCATCAATTCTCTGATAGTGAATATAAATTTGAATTTGTGCCTGAATGACTGTTATTTTAATATCTTGCAGATAAGGCCACAAGTCAGCTTCTGCTGGAGACAGACTGGGAATCCATTCTACAGATCTGTGATATGATTCGTCAGGGAGATACCCAGTACGTGCTGAACTCTACCATGTTTTCATTGCCCTATTTTTATGCACTTTATTGACGAAAGAAGCATTCTTTCATTGCAATTAAACTTAAGCAAAGCATGAGTGGAAAGAAATGTGCTGCTGACATAGAAATTTGAATCTGTGTTTATCCATTTTCCAAACCCAAACTTTTAGGTATTGGCTACATTGTGTCTCTAAAGACCTTATTGTTCTATAAACACTCTTGGGCCATTCAAATAAAGCATCAGCTAGCATAGTGTGAGATCTCTGGCCTATGTATAACTCACCAAATCCTTGGCAACCCCTAGATTGTTGATAAATTGAAAATCTTTAATAACAAAAAGAAAAAAAGTAAATACATAGGGAACAATCATGTCAATGGTATAGCAATGTTAATATTAGTTTCATAGTTTTAATTAATAATTAATATTTTGTCCTGAGTCCTGCTCACTTTTGTAGTGTGGATTCCAGGATGCTATTCCAGTGTCATCCCTCAAAAAGGATGATTGCTTGCTATCCTCCAGATAGCATGGACTTTAGCTCCCATCAATCCCAATTAACATGACTAATATCTATTAGTCATTAACTCACGTATGGAATTATTATCCAGTACATAGAAACTAAGGATAATCTTTCTGGATCAGGGCATAGATCAGATTAATACACACTCTGTGTTACACACTCCCATCAGATCCATTCTAGAAGCTCATGAGCAGGATTTGAAGTTGGTAGCCTTTTTCTGTTATTGCTCCTTAGATATATGATATGCTATCTTTGATTTTGGACATAGATTATAATTTTAGACATCCTAGACAACCCAAGGTGACACAAGTTTGTATTGTGATGTCATAGCATGAATCCTAGACTTTTATACTTTCACCCCAGTGTTGTATAGAAGTATGTAAGTCATGTGGTTTGTGTCACAAGTTTTGTTATTTGTCCCATCCCCATCTCTCTCTCTCCTGATGATGCCTATGAATAGTGCGATTAACATGAATAATCATTCATAGCCCTATCCTCTGAATGTGTATCTTGCTCATCCATTTTAAAATCATTTGCATTGGTGATCTCTGTTTACTACAATGAATTTCATAGCTTAATTTTGTGTGAATAAGATTGTTTTCTCATTTAGATTCTACTGCATTCTAATACTATGTGTGAAAGAAAATATATTTTCTGCTATCCATTTCCCCCCCTTATATGCATGGTTATATTGTACTCTGCTTTGTTAATTAAGAAGCATTCAGCACTATTTTTTCCTTTTTGCTCTGCCCTTGTTTTGGTCATTGCTGCATCTTTTACAGCTCTACAATGGATTTTTTTTTTTGAGAAATAACTGATTTAAGATGCAGTTGTAAAACTGATTTATATTAAAAATATTTCACTGGCAATTTTTATTTTTATTCAATTGGCTAATTGTTCCTAGGAAATCCCAGAACAGAACTTGGTTGCTACTTGGGACTAAGCATATAATTGGCTCCACTCTAGTTGGCCCTTTAGTCCATTATTCTAGGTCGGGGGTTCCCAACTGGGGCTGTGAGATGATATTCCAGTGGGTGCGAAGGGTTTTCAAAGTTATAGTGCATATGCATAATTTGTTGCTGTTATTTCAATCTTTTGTAAGGGGTGCGAGAATATATCAGAAGCGTTCTAGGGGTGTGGAGTATAGAAAAGGTTGGGAGCCACTGTTCTAGGACATGGTCATTTGGGATATTTTCTTTGTCTGGGGCTAGTCTAGTCATAATATGACTTTTTTTTGGTTTTGTCTTGGCATGTACACAGCCTCCTTCATCAAGTGTTTGCATTTTGTAAATGATTATACTATGTTTCATGACAGGAACAAATGTTAGCTGGCTTAAGTTTCCTTGCAGCTTTCATTAGATTGAACTGGTTCTCTTTTTCCCCCTATGTTTTCCCAGGGCCAAGTATGCTGTGGGTGCAATTAAGAAAAAAGTCAATGATAAGAATCCTCACGTGGCACTCTATGCCCTAGAGGTAAGCAGAAGTATAATGACACTCCCTGGTGACGAGGTTTTCCTCATTTGGGCCCATGTGGTATGCATTGTAAAGGAGATCCAGACTATTTGTTGTGAAGTCTCTGAACTTTTATTTGGGAACTAACTTTTGTATATTTTTTATGCAGGTCTTGGAATCTGTAGTAAAGAATTGTGGTCAGACAGTCCATGATGAGGTGGCTAACAAACAGACCATGGAGGAATTGAAGGAATTGTTGAAGGTAATAGCACTTAGGCCATTTTTCTTTACGGTAAGCTACACTAGAGAAAAGCCTTACACTGGAGGGAGGTGGAATAGATTGACTTTGCTGTTGTTTTTTCCTTGAAGATTTGTATTATTATCACATGACAAAAACACTACCTTGTATGACCTTTTTTTTTTAAAGTAAACAACATAGAACAAATGCCAAAAGTCCTAAAAGTTTTATTTTAAAAAAAATCTGATTTGGGCATTTAAAATTTTAATGACCTTATTCAAGTATAATATATTTATGCATGTATATATATATACATATTACATCTAACATTTCAATTAGCCTGAAATAGTTTTAAAG